GTACACTGTATTTTGTATAAATTTCAAGCACACTTGCTTTGACCGGCTACTATTGTTAATTACCCTGAAAGGAGATGTTTCTTCCTCAAAGAAAACCTAACAAGGAAGTCGAACGATAAAAAAACGTGTGCTACTAACCTATATGATGCATTCATCTTTTCACCTGGAGTAAAACCTGATTTCTCCAATTTAAGCTCTCCGGTTATCATGCCATTAGTTCGGCAACACCAAGCCACAGTATGGTTGGATTCACTTGATGATACTGGCTCAACTAGCTGAAGAAATGAAAGAAATGTTAAGTGTAGAGGAAGGAAATTAGAGTAGTGATTGTGGAAATGTTAGGTCTGGGTTATAAAAAAGATTTCTTTAATAAAAACTTTATAAATTAGCAAAATAATTTAATAAAACTTCAGATAGCTATGATATTTCTTTTGTTTTTGGAAATTGATCTCTACTACTACAGCTTCATTATGAAGAATCCAGCAATCTAGTTTGGCGTAACCATCACAGCTTACTGTATTTTCGATGTGCAAAAGCAATCTCTACCTTTAAAGTTGTGAAAACGCTAAAAGTAACCATTAACACATTGAACCAAGTTGCAAGTTTTTGAAGGAGTCTACAGATAATGAAGAGTGTTAAATTGTATTGTATATTTTCGTACATGTTAGTGATAAACCTAACCCTTACTGAGCGTGACAAAAAACAAACAATTTGCAGGTATGCTTAAAATTTTCGGCTACCAAAAATTCATTGCATTTATCCAAGATTCAACCCTTGCACAAAAGATCTTCTCAATAAGGAGGGAATTTTTAAAAAGTTGTGTAGAACAAACCAAATTTCTGGTGGTAAAATAAGTATCTCTTATTTAATGTCTTGTAACTTATATCAGATGCTTTGTAGCAAAACATACCCGAGCATCCGAATTGATGTCCTCGATTCCTATTACGGTAAACGCTTTTCTTGTTACAATGTCGAAATCCCAAGGACGTTCGCAGATTGCCTAAAATCACTTCAACTGACTTATATTTAAGCTCTTTTACTTATTTGTTAATAAAATATCTGAGGAGAAAACTTGATCAGATTACACTAAACTGTGAACACACTAAATTTTACAAAGAGTTATTTCGAAAGGAATTATGGAGTAAAAAGAAACGTTTAATATCTTTTACTTCATTTGTCTCAACTAATAAAATTGTCGTAGAGGACGCAAGTACTTAATTATACGAATATTAAAATCACCATTAGTAGAGTTCTTCGATTCTTTCTCAGTCAAAAGATGTGCAACCTTAAAACTAAAAAGGGAGGGATTCTCAGTCGAAGTGGCGATTTGAAATGAGGTAAATACTCTCATATTTAACTTCAATTGTTGATTTAAATCTGTTTTTGAGAAGCATTTTCTGGAAGAAGTCATGCAACCTTTTTTTATCAAAATGGCTTAGAGGACCTGGAAAAATGCTCAAATGTACAAACTTGACCCAAAACAGCAGCGTAAAGGCCAAATATTGATAAAAACATGTCTTAATAGAAAAAAAAATCCCTTGCTTGTTGTTTCTGGTTGGGTTTGAATTGTAGCGCAATAACGAGGGAATAAGCTGATTTCAGGGAGAAACGCTTCGCAAAAAAGGAAGTCGGATTTGGAATTATCATCTGAACCTGCGTTTACCAATACGCATCTCTTATTGAATCGCTACTTCGACGAAGTATCCTTTCCTTACAAAAAAAACAACCCATAATTTCCCCAGCTTATCTTATTTGCACTTTTGAGATTAACGCCTTGACACAAGCTCACTTGTCTCAATTACTTCTCCCTCTCGTAAATAATTATGAGTGACATATTTAAAATCATCGTTGGCAGGAAACAGTTGCTTTGCTTGCCTTATGATGGCCGAAATTTGACAAATCTTGGCATATTATGTCAGCTGAACTAAGCTAAGAGGGTGCTGTTCTTCAAACAAATTTCCAATAAACTGTCATTAATTTGATAAACTTCTATCAAAACAGGAGCAATTTATTCTAGTTTTGCATTTTTTTATTTCTTTGGGAAAAATATTCGTATTAAGTCGAAAAAGATGTGTAATATTCTAACTACATAAGCAAAATAGATGCTAGAGGGGTTGTAATATCCTGCACGGTGTAAGAGCCTGCCATTAACCTTCATCTTACCTAAACTTACTACTTTACAGATTACGGG